TTGTTGTATTTTATTTTATTTTGAATCTATAAAGAGAAGGCTATGATATCTTATGTTAGAGAATTAAAATTTAAGCATAGATAATTTCATGACAAAATAGAGGTGATGGCTCACATTTATTGATTGTTTTATTGTAAGCTATATGTGATGCAATTAGCTACTACTGAAATTAAAAATATTGAGTAATTAATATGAAGTAATGTAGATAGTAGATTAAATGAAGAAATGAAATCTAACCTTACAAAATTTCTTACATTGGTTGAACTTACGAAGGCATTAAATGTAGTGTAAGGTAGAAAATCTCCTTGATTTAATGGAATCATATTAAAATTTCATAAAATAATTTGAGATCTAATCAAAGAGATTATTTATTCATGTTTCAAGAAAATATAAGGGAGAGATGCCTTCCTCCAAGAGTAACACAAGGTTTAATAGCCTTGTTGCATAAAAATAGACTAATATATGAAATTTCTTATTGGAGGCTAATTACTTTATTTAATATAGGTTACAAGAGTTATGCTAAGGAATTATAATTTTTTCTTTAATTATTATTTATATAGATAATTAGTATGAAATAATTTTTCTTCTTTCTTATTCTTAATAACTTATTGTTAATTCATAAAACAATGGCATAGATATAAAAATTTGGCCAATCCATTTTTTGTCTAAAACTAGATTTCTTTAAAGCTTATAATATAGTTGAATGGAACTTCCTATTTATAATAATGGACAAGATAGGCTTTTCCAAAGAAATTAATCTCATAGTTAGACTATTATATATTAATACATTAGCAAAGGTAAAGATCAATGGATCATTATTTGAATCATTTTTTATTAAGAGAGAGATATGGCAAAGATATCCATTAGCTCTCTACCTCTTCTTTGTAGTTGTGGAAGCTGTCAATTCTATGATTTTTAAAGAAGTTGAACTAAGAACCATTAAAAGGATCCAACTTCTTATGAGACATAGGCAAAAAATCATGGTGCAATATGCAAATAACACTTCTTTAATCTTATTTGGCAAGGAAGAAAATGTGAAACATACTGCCTTCATTTTGGACACATTTTGCTTAGGTTCTAACTCAATTATTAATTGGCTCAAATTGAATAGCCATTGAAGATTTGGCTTTTTATCTACTCACATTTTGTTAATAAGTAACTTGAAAATATCTTGAGCAAATAAAAAGATAATGGGCAAATTACTAGATACATCTTTTGGCATCTTTCTTAGATCTATAGATTTTGAAACTCTTCTAGAACAAAAAATAGATAAGAAAATAAATCATTAAAACTTGCTTAATGTAACAAAAAAAAAGGTGATCAATAGTGTTTTATTTTCTCCCACATTCTTTTTTATATCACTTTAGAGTAGTACTAAATGAAGCATTTCTAAGATCAAAGCTTCTCTTAGGAAGTACCTAGCAATGAGAGAACCATCCAATAGATCTACATAAAAGTTGCATAGGCTTGATGCTATTAATCCATTTAAAAGAAGAGAGTCAATCTCATTAATCCAAATAATACACTAGTAGCATTAATGATTAAATGGATTGTGAAGGCTATAGAACCAAGTAACTCCAATTTACATCTAATGCTATGTCACTATCTTAGTCTTTTTTAGTCTTATTCAAGAGAGAGTTGGCAACAAAGTTAGGAATTCTTTACCATCATAAAATATCAAAGTCAAAAAGAATCTATGGTATGGATCAGAATTGTAATATCCTAGAAATCTCTTCTTTTTTTTATTACTTACCTTCTCCCAATTTGCTATGAGAAATGACTCAACTTTAGTATTTGGCATCATCTTGTAATCCCATGTATTAGCTCAAGATTTTCTAAGGTCAAAGCAATACAACTTCATCACAATGGGCTGAAAAAAATATAGAGATATGTGATAAAATCGTAACTTTCTTAATTTTTTGGAAGCCCAAAATCAATTTGGTTGTGAAAGAAAGAAAGATGTATAGGAGGCATTGATTATCTTTCTTTGCCAATAGTGAAGCTAGTTCATGATAGATCCAATAGCACAATTACAAAGGAGGGAGTAGGCAGAAGTCTACTCCATGAAGAACTCTTGCCTATGGTGGTATGACAAGTTAGTCCAATCGAAGAGATCACTTTGAATTTCAAAGAACATTAGATATTCCTTGCTATCAAAATATATAAGGTGGATGGCCGAACAAATTCTTTGATCAAAATTTCTATAGAATATTAATATACACAAAACCAACCAACAAAGAAGGCTGAGAATGCAATTGATGCCATCAACACCATTCAAAGATCTCAAATTGTATTTGTATGACAAGAGACAAGTAAAAATGCCATCATCTTATGCTATGGCTATATTCACCATCTAATATGAGATCTTGGTTGTTATCAATAGCTAAGGCGAGTCTTGTTCATGCATTATACAACAAAAATGAGAGAGCTTTGGCTTTAGGAGGGACTTGTGATCTAGAATGTGATAATTTAGAAGTAGAGCAGAATGCTGCCTTCAAATTTCAAGTTAAAGTGGACAAACATATAGAACATAAAAAAGATGTAGAAAGAAGCGAGGCTCCTTTTGCTTACTTAGCACTAAGCCGTAGTTATGAACAAGTAGAGAAAAAAAAGTAAATGGCATCATAGATCAAAGTTGCTAAGTGTGTTTGATAAACACCATAGAATTAGTCTTACATAGATTTTGGAAGTGTTGCTTTGCAATACAAGGTTGTAGATGGAGGATTCACATTCTCTAGTTACTTGTTTTGAACCCAAAACAAACAACTATATTGCAAAGGAAGGGAAATGATGGTACCATCAATAAGAGCCCTCCTATGATTACTTTACAAAATATTAGTATTGCAAGAACCACAACCAACCTGCATGCAACCCTCTTGTAATTTGCCTCTTTGTAAAAACATTGTTTATTTCCATACAAAATTCTGAGGCGCTTTAAGACAATGAGCCGGCTTTGGCTTCTGCTAGGGGGAGTGGTCATTAGGTTAATTTGAATCAAGAGGAATTATGCTGTTTTTAATGGAGTACATTGGGCAGTGGAAAAGCTATACCAAACAATCTGGTTGCACTTAGTAGATTATGGCAAAATGGCATGGTTGAGAACACAACAACAGATACAACTCAACTCAGACCCTTACAAGCTGATGAGTGGATTCAAGAGTTCCAATGACAATGGTGTACAACCGAAATTTTGGTTTCCTGGCGTCAAAATAAATAGGAGTAGAATCTAGTTAGTCCTAATGATAGTTTTGGCCTTAGTTGTAGTCAGTAACCTAATCCTTCTGGGCGGACATAGCAGAGTTTCTGTACACTAATCCTTGCAATAAATAAATCTTTATTTGCGTCAAAGAAAAAGAAAAAAGAAAAAAATCCACCGCACAAGTCAATATCAGGAACAAAGTTTTTTTTCGAAACAAACAGAGGTAGCCCTTTATTGCCATAGACATCATACTTTACAACCTGCCCATCCGAAGACGGCCTAGGAATGGACGACTGGTGCATTAAATATTAGGTGGCACAGTACACAACTTATCCTACACGACCCGCGTCCAGACAAAACGTCGAGGATCAACACGCGTCTAGCCGAGACCCAACCGCCCGACTGCTGGGAGCTCCTATGGTGGCTGGAAGACGAATCCCTTTGCGGCTCCTGACAATACCCACTGAGGGTTATCGTTCACCATTGAATCAAACACGCCTTGGCTGCACCACCTCTGCACAGAGCGACGAGCTAGTTTGGCACTAGTTACTCGCCGTGCTTTCCAATATTTACACACTACAGTCCACTCAACTTGCCCATAGTTAAGAATGCCAAGCCACACCGACTGTAACAATTTTGCTGAATGCCATCTGACCTCGTCAAACACATCGTCGTCTCTTTCCGCCCACAACGTCCGCAGGATCACTGTCCTCAGTTGCGATCACACCAGGCTGAACGGGGCCAACTTGCGTGGGAGTCTCTCTGAGAAGAGACCCTGACGTCACGATAGAGGTTGCCACGGTCCGCGTACATCCCTGCCGTGTACCAACGAGTTTAGGATATGAGTGCCCCACTGCCAAGCATGTTGTGCAAAGGGGCATTCCCAAATACGGTGGAAAATTGACTTCGACCTTCGTGGGCAGACGGGACAGCAAAGAGAAATAGAGTGATCGACCCCTCCTTGCCAGGCTTTCACCGCGAGGTCTCTGTGCCAAAAGCAACCAGAGGAGCCCCGATTCTTTACTCCCACGCTGTTTCACCCATACCGTTTTCCACCTCAATCTGTATGAATTCGCAAGAATGCGGGGCCACTTTGAGATGGCAGGCTTGGGGATACCGTGTTTCTCCCTGAGTAATTCCCTTCCTAACGTCGCGGAGTACTGCATGAACGGGACAGCCTCAGTGCGAGACCGCCACTCAAATTTACTCGGGTCCCACGAAAGATCAGCAATCTTGCCATAGAAGAGGAAAGTCGATTTCTTCTTTGGGTCCCTTCAAAATTTGACTACTCGGACCCGATGGAGCATATCCACTGTGCCTTGGCTATGGTCGAGATATTCTGGCTGCAGCCATCGAGAGGACGGGAGAACTGTATACCGCGTAGTGGCATGGGGGAATAATGTCACCGAAAGCGAACCCCCACACAACACTCTAAGCCTTCCGCCACCTGCCAGACCACTGTCGGGAAGGCCTCCTCGTTGGATTGGTAGGCTCCCACCCATTCTCCACTTCTGGCCGGGGGAGGTTCTTGTTCGAGGAGTGAGTTCCAGTGTCGGGAGAGGCGGGAGACTGCCGCCTCCCAAGCTCCGGCTTCCTCTGGTAGGAGTCCAAACAGCACAGCAGCTTCTTGATGGTTGAGGAACCTAGTGTTGATACTCGCATCACTTACCCGTCGTAGGCCTGTTTTGTGGAGCTGCGATGCTCGTAATTTTGAGAATCCAAGCCCAATAAGAGAGCACGCCGATGACCACCAAATGGACTCACTCTTCAGTAATTGGTGAGGATCATCACCAAATAATCAGCTCCCAATTTTTTTTTTTTTTTTTTTTTTTTTTTGTGAAATTCTGTATTGACACTATCAGGGCCAGGGGCTTTTCCTGGGGCCATTTCGAGTATAGCAGCATCCAATTCACTCATGGTGATGGGAGCCTGAAGCAGGGAAATCATCTGGGGTGTGAGTCTGGTACTCACACACTCCAGGCAAAGCTCCAGCGCTTGAGCCCCCACTGCCGAAACAGTCGGAGCTGAGCATAGATCAGCATAAAACTTGGGGCAGATTCCCTCGAGCCCGGCCTGGTCTGAAACCAGGGTCCCACCCGCGTCCGTCAGCCCCGTGAGTACCCTCGCCTCCGCTGGTCCTTGTTCGCTAGGGAAAATTCCTTGGAACTGACGTCCCCGACGACTTTCCATTTGACCCGGCTACGAATGCGGGACCCTTCTTCCTTCCGCGCCTCGACTCTTGGAGCCCCTCGCCACAGCACCCAGCCGCTCTTGCAAGGAGACATCGTACGGGTCAGCCTGTAGGTCCTCCATGGTTTGAGACATGCACGTCCTCCAGTATAGTTCCTCACGGCGGTACTGCTGCGCCTTCTGCACGCTGTAGCCGTGGTAGTATTTAATGACCCTGCGTAGCTTCTTCAGAAAATCATCCCTCAGGTGCGAGGTCCAGATCTGGGCCACTCTTCTCTTCACGACTTCATCGGTTAGGTATCGCGCGCTCATTTTGAAGGCAGAGGGTCGAAGGGACAGGGGCACAATCTGCAGCGAACAAACTACCGGAAGGTGATCCGCGTGCGCATAGTCGCCGCGAATCGCGTACTCTGTGATGAGATTGTCACCTACCCAATTAGGCCGGAAGGTGTAGAATCTATCCAACCTGGCCATTACCCGGACTCCACACTGTCGCCTGTTGTCCCATGAATACCTGATTGCATTCTCATCAGGGGAAGTAGTCTTCGACCTGCAAAGCATTAATAAGAGCTATGAAACTCGGCTTCTCTCGCTCCGACACTAGCAGTCCGCTCGATGAGGATTTGTCGATGCGTCTTGTGACGAAGTTTCAGTCGCCACACAAGACCCAGCGGCAATCGCGAGGTAGCGTGACGACCAGCTCCTCCCACAGAGCGCAGCGCTCAGCAGGTGAGGTCAAACGTGGGCCGCTGAACTACCACGGGAGGAGATGAGTCCAGGGTCGAGCAGCCCATCGGCGGACTGGGAGGCGGAGGCATCTTATCTCCGACCAGCAAGGCACTCTGAAGAACCTTCTCATCGTTAGTTACGTTGGGTCGGACGGCGGCAGTATAGGGCTGAATACAAAGGACATTGATGCCCTGCCCACTTACACCCTCCGACGGTGCGGCTACTAGTGTAATCATCTGGTTATCAGAAGTTGCCCATGTTCGGATATCTTGTGGTATGGCAGTCACGTCCCTGCCCTCGGAAGTCATCGCTGTGAGCTACATTATTCGGCGACAAGATCAGCGGATTCTCCCTGGCAGTGCCTGATTGTAGCATGTTGACTGTAGGAGAGGGAAGAACGGGCACTAAGCTTGGTGAATGGCTTCCAAACACGTATCCAGTGGGTACATCAGACTGAACCCAAGTCGGAAGCGCTTTTTCAGGCCCTTGGGGCTCCGTAGGTAACCACTCCATATTGGCGTCAGCCTCATTATCTCCAAGGCCAGATGTTCTCGGGCTGAGTCTTACTGGGGTCATCGATGTGGCTACTCGGCTCCGATTAAAGGAAGGAGAGATTGCCGGATGTGTAAGTTCTACCATTGTGTCAAAATGGGGTCGGGGAGGGGGTTGCTCAACCTGCACCCACTGCGTTCCGTTAATCCCTCCTCTCCCTCTTTGCACAATGGGGCGCTGAGGAGCGGAGCGGTCAGATTCAAAAGCAGGGCCACGGACTGACTTTTACCGTCTGTACACTTTCTCTCACCCATTCCACTCATGCTCAGGTGTCAGACGAGACTCCCCATTCGAATAGTGGTTACCTGACCGAACAGTACATTGGCTCGACGGTTCAGGATCGCTCCTCTGCCTTACCTCCAAGGACCTAGACGACCCCACTAAAATAGTGGGATTTTGCCCAACCACAGTAGGAGGGAGAGGGAGCTCCACCTCGTGGTTTCTAAGGTTGGTCGACGACGGGGCTTGTGGGACAGAGGTAGCTGACGCCCCTGGTTGTGGAGGTGTCTTAGTACGGTTTTCCCTGCCCCCGATTTCTTTCATGCTTCTGGTTCCTGTGCATTCTTTTACCAGATGGTTCGTGCTTAAACAGAATTGACATCGAATCGGCAAATTACAGTAGTCAACAGAGATGAGAGAGACCTTCCCCGTTGCTTCGTTACTGACGGATAGAAGCGTACGCCATTCAACACCGGCCTCCATCGCCACACAAAACCTCTGGTCCGAGCTCACGGCGCTGCGATTGTCACCACCCAGCAGAACCCGTAGCCCGCTCGCAATCTGGTTGGAGACTTTCATAAATTCCCCAGGGATACCGCGCAAGGTAACCCATGTGGGAACCCGCAGTCCGATGTGGGAATGCTTATTTGCATCAGAACCCAGAGTCCAGGTCTGTAGAATGCACATCTCCCATCTCAAACGATAGGGGGTAAGCATGAGTAAGCGTTGAGTTGTAACTTCCTTGGAACCAAGGACCTCAAAATAAACTCCTACCTAAATCCCGACCTAGCACTACATCATCACCTACTAGCTCTTGAATTAAATCGAGCCACTTATTAAGGACTTGGGAGGGCTGCTTACCTCCTACGAAGTACGCGACGATGGCGCTCTCCTGCCTAACCACCTCTTGATCCACAGTAACGGGGAGAATTTCTGTGTGTAATAAAAAAAAACCTGCACTGCTACGTGCGTAACCCTGCGGCAGCGATTCGCCCTCCCTCGGAATCGTGCGGTGAATAGTGGCAAATTTACCCGTTCTCGTTACTGCCGCTACCAGTTCAGGTTCGACGGAATCCTCATTTCGAGCTGATCGCCCAAACTCCCGGATGTCCTCCGACAGAGAAGGCGCAGTAGGAGCGTGTGCAATCTTTGACTTTGCCAAATCTGCGTACGAACAAGAGCCAGCCATTCCACAAACCTGAACAAGACCTCAACCCCAAACCCGAGCCCTAACCCCATCTCTCTAAAAATAACCTGCTTTTCACCTTACAGTTCCACCCTCCCGTGTATCAAACCCTCCCAATTCTGGAAGTTTGTTGACAAATTATGCACCATGTGTGCATTGCCATCAGAGGATTGAAGTTAAAAATCACTCATACATGATTGACTACCTGTCCGCAGCGGAAGTTTGAGCAGCTCTGTCGAGCATACGCCTTCAGAGCTTCATCATGCCCTCCGCCTCAAATTCCCCCATTTGACTCGAATTGCATGATTTTGCACTAGTGTTACTCAATCTTGTCCTTCAGGAAACTTGCAGTCTTGCAGTAGTTTTTTTTGTTGATGATTCTATTGATGTTTCTACTCATGGCTTTCACGGAGACTTTACTCAGTTTCTGAAAAGGAAATGCTTTGACATTTGCTCTGAGTGGAGGGGGGGATTTTAGCACCAACGCATGGTGCAAAGATAATAATTTTTTTATATTATTAACTAGTTTCACCTAAATGAGCATGATTATGTGAATGAAATTAGAAACACCCTCGAGGAGAATCAAGTCCCCAGGTCCCCAGGGGGCCTAGATTCTGGCTATCGTGCAATTCTAGGGACATCAGCCTCACCATTGGAACAAAGATTTCTTAGTCATTCAGACGCGACTTACTAAATCCGGGGCATTCATAAATGGCATCTCCGTGAGAATCAGCACCTGACATAAGAATCCAGTGTAGCATTTGACTGTGCTCTGGTCATGGATTAGGGTTTTGGACACGGCTCCCGGTGCGCCTCTCCTCTCTTAGATCCCAACACTTGTGATTCTGCAATGCAATATTCTCTGACACAGCCTAGTTCCGCTGCGGCACACACTCGTAGAGCAGCAACCGTGGCGTTGACTGCCATTGTCGAAATTGCTGGTTAGAACATCTCACGCCTGCTCACCAATCCAACAGAGTCCCAAATCCACATTGCTCTCCGTCTTTTTTCCCACAATTTCGACCGAGGTGTGCAGGATCTGAGAATGGCTCGCTCGTTTGCGCATCCGGTCCCTTCGCACTCGACCCATAAATCGCCTCATTGTCTGAAAAAGTCTCCGACGCTGGTGCAAACTGGCGGTGAACACAGACAGCAATCGACGGGCCTTGTGACCACTGGCGATTTAGTGCTTGCCAATTCCGTGCGGATTTGTCCTCTTCCGCCTTTCGTCGACGAAAGTTCATGAATGAATAATGTATGTTGGTTGGGATGTTCCATCTGGAACCGACGTGGCGATGACGACGCCCTGATGCGTCGACGAGCTTGTTCACCTCTCTGCCGTGCGCAATCCAGTTGGCTGCTCAGTAGAGACCCCTCTCGTTGGCAAATTTCTCTCGTACTCTTCGCGCTTGTAATCGTTTCTGCCTAAACTGCTAGATGAATTCGTTCTGGGCAAGAAATTTCACGTTGGGTGGTCTTCCATTTCCTGTTTCGATACGTGTTTGCAGACTTCTTCATGACATTGCAGAACTCGAAACATTCCTCGCTGCGGATCCTGCTCCTTGGTGAGAGAATGCCGATAACGCTAGTTTGAGGCTGAGAGGCGCGGAGGACGGCAATGTGTCGGTGCAGCGTGTTACGAGAATCTTGATATTTTTGCAAGTAGACCCAACGATGGCGGAATCATTATAGGGTTTTCCTTTTTGTGGGTATGGAGGGACACGGGTTCTTACTGAGGGAAATTATTAGCGGCTTTTGGTTTGTTCCACAGTTTAATCGTATTTGTGGTTGGGATTCTCGTGTGGGAGAGGTCACGCTCGAGTGGTTTTGTGTGGACTTTTTGTTGTTTTTGTAATTCTCTTGTGGGATATTTGAACTTGTCGTTGTGCTTCGCAGACTACCAGTTCTCGGTGTAATCTTCCTGTTTAGCTTACGGTAGTCAGCACCAAGTCGTGAGTCGACGTCGTAAGTTACTTCTCATTTTTGGGCGGACTTTTCACAGCTTTGTGTCTCGTTTCAGGCATACTATTTGAACGCATCATCAATATCTGAAAATTTGTGATTTGTGAGGAATTAGGGTTTTCAAGGCCGTTGACTCTGGTAGTTGCACAGAGGGTTTAGAAGAAAAAGCAGCAATGTTTTTTCTGTATAGAGGCGAACTTCACAAGGTCTCTGGGATTCCACGCCGGTGGCCACTTCCGCAACCGACCATCTCGCTATCTGCATTTAGACAAGCGCTGGAAAAACGAAATGACGCTTTGCGCAGCATTTTCGCAACCCCTCGCTTTACTACCTCCTGCCTAACACGCCAAGAAACTTGTGTCTCTGGCTCCCAAAATGTTTCACCTACACATGTTCATGCTATTGAAGGACCCAGAGAGGATCCAGAGACGGACATTGGACGAGAAGGGCGGGGAGAGAGTGATGGTCAGGTCAAGGAAGATTACATGGATGAAGATATTGATGATGCGGGAGAAGATGGAGAAGACCGGAATATGCAAGGACGAAAGACCCGACATGGAAGCTACGAAGAGGGACACAGGGATGGAAGCATACCCATGGAAGATTCTTCTGCTCCGACTCTATCTAGAGATCACTCCCTCGATAACAACAAGCCTCGGCGCGAACCTAAACCAGAATGCACAGATGTAGCGGATATGGAAGATCATGTGGATTGTAAGGAAAGAAAGAAAAGGAAAAGAGAGGAAGCCCCTCCAATTGAGGCAAAGAAGGGTAGGGTGAAGGTGAAGGAGGAGGTTGTAGCTACTGGCGCACCGGTTGCTGTCGAGCCTGCGGCACTTGACGCAGTAGCACGTGAGGTGATGGAATTGGACCAGAAAGTTGTGGAGAATGAGGCTGGGGATAGGGGTAACCTCGAAAACGATAGCACTGAAAAAGAAGGACCACATGGTAATCCAGAATTAGCATTGATAGTGAAGGAGGGTGATGGTCAGACGGAAGTGAATCATGATGAAGAACGGGATTTTGTCAAAGTGGAAGCTCCTTCTACACCACCTGTACATTCCGAGGAACTAAATATCGGAAAGCCTGTGAGTATTGTTCAGATTTCCCATGGTCTGCTATCTACTCCCTGCTGCTCGTAGATGACCAATGCTGTGGCACAAATTAAAAAAAGAAAGATCTGTCTTCCTTTGCATTTACGTCATGATTATAGATCATTAATAGTTGCGCCTTTTAAGCTGTGATTCTGAAAATAATCATGACAGACGGAAGGGAAAGAACAAGCTGGGGAGGCCAAAGTAACAGAAGACGCAGCAGGTGGCAAGAAGGCAGAGTTGGAGGCTAAACTTGAAAAGTTGACCGCTGAAAAACATCACCTTGTACAAATGTTGAAGCAGGTCTTACAAATCACAATTTCTTTTGTGCTGTGGCAGTAAATCTCTACCATAGCCGATTGTTAGCCCAGTGAGATGAGTTCTTGATGTCCTATGTAGGTTTATCATGGTATTCACAGGATCGTTGCCATGTATTTGGATGTCGTCTTAACATGTTACGGCTTGTTCAGGTGTTGAGCACTGAGAAGGTATCAAAGAAAAAAGTTCAGAGTGCAACCCAGTCTCTATCTGCTCCGGGACCTTCTTCTGCTCCTGGGCTCTTATCTGCGTCTCAAGATGTCCCAAGCAGTACAGATGTGCCTGCCGCACCAGTTGTGCATTCAGAGACTGCTAGTGCAGCTGGCGCTGAAGTCACTCCTAAAGTAGATGTGCATACTGCATCACGTCACTCACAGGTTCGGTCTCATAAGTTAGGACGTCAACTAAATGCGTCACGGCTTGTTCAGGTGTTAAGCACTGAAGAAGAATCAAAGAAAAAGACACACAATGCGTCTCAGACGTCACCCACTCCTGGACTCCCATTTGCTTCTCAGGCAGCTTCTATCAGTGCCGAGGTACCTTCTGCCCCTGTCGTGCAGTTAGAAACTGCTAATGCGGGTGGCGGTGAAGTCCAAGCTTCAGCAGATCTTGAAGAAGGGGAGTTGGAGTATGCAAGAACACCTAGTCCACCGCCCTCTCATGCAACGATTGCATCACACCCCGCAAGCCACGGAACACATTCTTCTCATGGAGCGACTCCTGCATTGGGTCCATTGCTTGGCAGACAGCCACAACACTTGAATCAGGTATTTAAAGATCGTCTGGTCTTCCATTTTGTTAGGAAAGGGATTTCCGTTACTTTACAGGACGAAGGCTTTTTGCTGAAAACATTCTTCTGGTTAGCTAGGGATTCTCATAAACTTATAATCTCTTTGGCTACACTGCTTGATCTCTTATTCTCTGCGGAAGTGTGCTTACGATCTCTGATGATATTATCACATATAACAAATCTCAAGAACCTTCGTGCTTGTGTTTTAGGGTGGATCAGCACGGGGTGGTTATTATCCACAGGGATTAGGCCTCCCGTCTCCAAGTTCAGCTGCCGCAGCAGCTTTAGTGGGTGCAATATCCCCAGGGACTGGTTACATGCCCCTTGTCAATCGGCCTTATCAACACCAAATGGTTAGTCATTCTCGAGGGTTTGAGTATTCAGCTTTTTTCGTGCTTAATTTGCTTGACTACCTTGCCTCTTTTACTTGCTCTTAATTTATTTTATATCCTTATTCGTGTTGTGCTCTATGCTATCAACTGGTTCTTTTTCTACGATATTTTTAGTGACTCAGATGTCCGCGTTTTGGCTAATTTTGACACTAATCATGTACTTTTTTGGACCTTTGCAGATTTGATTAATTTTAGAAATTGTTTGTATGAGTTGATATTTTGTTTTGCTGTGTTGTAGGTAATGCAGCACGCAGCAGCAGCAGCAGCATTACATGCTCAGAAGGTTGCAGCAGCAGCGGCCGCTGCTGGTCACTCTCACATGAGCCCCATTCTAGGAGGAGGAGGACCGGCAGGCTCCGGCAATGGGATTTCTAATGGACCGCCTGGCTTTGGTAGTTATGGAGTCCCTCCAGCTGTGCATGGGCACCATATGCCTCAGGGCGCTTCTCCGGGAGCTAGCCACATTGCAGCACAACAAGGAGCTTCTCCTTCTCTTCTCACCACTCCAAGAGGTGCTCCTTACCATGACGTACGGAACTTGAATCCTGCTTGGAATTTGCAGAGATAAGGATACGGTTGTCATGGACCCTCTAGATTTAATCCAGTAGAAGGTCAACATATCTGTTAGTGGCGCTTTTAGTGAGTCTACATCGGGTTGTTGCCTAATTCATTAGTGAGATGAATCTGCACTTTGGTGCGTGATGTGAAACTTTGCAATATTCTTTACTGAAGGTACATTGCTTCAAGAATGGTTTAATTGCTATAATTCTTTTCCGAAATTATATCACGGTAAATAATCTTTAAAACATTTTCAGGACTTGACTAATCATTGTGAATTCTAAGTGATGATTCATACAATTGTTTAATTTCTAAATGTTCTTTCAGATAATATTAGCAATTGAATCTTGGCATTGAATTTAAGGTCTGGATAACTTTCATCTCTGTGATACAGGCTAGATGAGAGTCACAGACAAAGGCAGGTTGTGGGGAAAGATGTTCCAATGGTTCTGAGATGAGGCACATGGCATCTGTGTATATTGGAAATGTCTATCCTCTGCAAGGCCTGTTTATGGCGACAGGGCAGCAGCATGGGGAGCAATGCTGTTTAGACATATGGTAACTTATCGGAATGGTCATGTCCATATCAATTTGTCATGGTGTAATTTACTGTAAAACTTCTTCACAATTGTCAACATGTTTCAGGATGTTGTGAGGTTTTTTTGTTAGATTGAGATGGTAGGTTAGGAATCAGGTTGATAGGTGTATATAATGGTATGTAGAGATCTAAGTGGATATGGTTTATGTCAGCAACACAATCAATCTATGAGGGTTGACAGTGTTGCATTGAGGAATGATAAGGTGAGGTTTCAGGTATGTGAATTAATTCACAAAGGTACTTATATGCATGTGAGCAATACTGTCCTTACTTGTAAGTATCTATTTCTTTTAAACTAGAATTAGCATAGATAACCATGTTTCATTTCCAAGCAAATGTACTGATATTGTTGAATGTCAAAATGTTTGCTCAACTTTTTAAAAGTTATTAATAGCATCTTGAATAAATGTTGCTGAAGGTGATTTGGTTTTTTGTCTTTGTTGAAATTTGAGGTAATGGAGAAGTCTTGCATCTGAGATGATTTAAAATGCGCCACAAGAAAATCTTTAAAATGTATTGTCTTGTGATATATATATATATATATATATATATATATATATAAATACATACATACACACACTTTAAACCTTGACAATATTCTAAAATCATAATCACTTAAATGGGAACAAATTTACAATTTAGTATATTGGTCTCTTGAATTATGTTGGAAAAGTTGCTAAAACTGAATGTTTATGGAATAGTATCTTTTATTGAGTACAATGTTTTTGAGTGGCAAAGATTATGGAGTGGTAAGAACCAAAGAGTTGTGTAGTATTCTATTTTATTCTAAAATTTTCCAAATCAGCCACCTTTTGGCTTATAAAATGCATCACAAAACAATCACCTCTCACAAGCCAAACTCTGTAATTTCAATTGTTTAAAACAACTGCATGTTACAATGGGAACCCGTTTCAAGTTGTCAAACATGCTCATTGCCACTAGTTGCCAACGCTCACTCCAAAAACATCAAAAAAAGTAAAGAAAATAGGATAATGTTGTTTAAGTAATGCACAACATAAATGTGCGTCTATATATGTGTGTATATATATATATATATATATATCTATACATCCCAATTCAGACACACACACACACACACAGTGAAAGTTAAGTTTTATATTTCATTTCAGCAGGTAAAATCGGTTGCCGTGGGAAATGTGTGGAGGAGGAGCACCGCGGGCACGGGTGCCCGTGGGACCCTCTTCACTCCAGCCGCAGTGACACACAGAGCGTTGCCCTAACATCGTCCCTTTCCCTTTCCCCTTCCTTCCTGTGTGTCTGTACAGCGGAGCTCACAGGGTCAGCTCGGCATCCCTCGCCGAACCAGTGTCGCCGACGGCCTTCCAAGGTACGCGTCTTCCCATGTCTTCGATTTTTCTGATTACCCAACAATTGCTTTGTCTCGATGATGCTGATTCGCTCCGGAATACTGCATCGAGAGACTGTTTGTAGGTTCATTTTCGTTTGGTTTGTTCCGGTTTGTGTTTTCGGATAAGTCTCGTTTCTGGGTGCTTAGTGTAGGTTCATTTTCGTTTGGTTTGTTCCGGTTTGTGTTTTCGGGTAAGTCTCGTTTTTGGGTGCTTAGTAACGTTTGAGTCGTCTTCTTCGACGCTCTGAAGCCCTTGGTCAAGTGTTTGTTGTGGAGACGAAGGGCTTAGGTAATGCGAAATTTTTCAGTTTGCCTTTTACGTTTTTGCTATTATTGTTAGTGTTGTTGTTACTGTTGAGTTTATGCAGTTTTAGAGAGAGGAAAGATAGGGAATGTTATGTTGAGGTTTGTCTGCAACCTGGAATGGTGGTGGGGTTACTGTTTTGCACAATTCTGCCACCGTCGTGCAGGGGCTTCTTTGTTTTGAGTAGATGAGCCAGCGGTTGCTATCTTCTTGGGAGTGAGTTAGATTAATGCCCTTTTCCTGTGGACCGCGCTACAAATTGTTTGGGCAACTTCTTGTGTGCTTCTGTGTTGCATTGATAATGCTCTTCCGTGTTGGAGTGTTCCCTTTGTTCTTCTTTGATTGTTTTGATGTTGAGCTGCTACCAGCACTTTCTCTGGGTGTGCTGTAGCTCCGAAGTCATGTGGTGGCGTGTGGCGAATTTATGTTGATTTTGAAGTGGCCACTCTCGTTCTATTTCTAATTTGGGGGAGGGGAAGGGGGAGGGGGTTTGACCCTGTTAAGATCACTGTTTACTAGTATACATAGTATTTCACATAATCAGGTGTTGAGTAGACTTTTAAAGAGTATATGTTGTTACTGCATGGCATTTAATCATCTTGAATGGAATGCCGAGCAGATGGATAGAGAGAAGCTAATGAAGATGGCTAGTGCAGTGCGCACTGGTGGGAAGGGCAGTGTCAGGAGGTTAGTGATGATCCTTTATTCTTCACGTCCCCGTGATTGAAACCCGTGTCCTTGCGTGTGTTGTATGCACCTCCAAGGATCTTGCTCAGTCTTGGTTCTCTTTTATTTTCCAAATAAAGATATCACAAAACTGTTTTTTTTGAAATTCTGGATGTCTGCATAATCTCATTAATCTATTATATCATACCATTCATTTTTTCGTTCCGTCTAACAGGAAGAAGAAAGCTGTGCATAAGACCACCTCAACTGACGACAAGAGGTTGCAGAGCACCTTGAAACGACTTGGAGTGAATACCGTTCCTGGAATTGAGGAGGTCAACATTTTTCAGGATGAGTCTGTTATCCATTTCGTGAATCCGAAAGGTATTACTTTCCGTGCTGTTAGTCCGTTATCCATGACCTAAAACGACAAAACACAAGTTTATTTGGGAAGTACAGGCATCTAAATGAAAATACCTTTATTGACGTGTGTGCAGTGCAAGCCTCCATTGCCGCCAACACGTGGGTGGTGAGCGGACCTTCTCAAACGAAGAAGCTCCAAGACATCTTGCCTAGTATCATCAACCAGTTAGGACCTGATAAATTGGATAACTTGAAGAAACTTATCCAACAATTCCAGAAGAAGGATAATCTTGAGGGGATTGAAGAGGGAGACGATGATGTGCCTGAGTTAGTAGAAGGAGAGACGTTTGAGGAAGCATCCAAGCAGGAAACTTCCAAGTAGGAATATCTCAAATAGGTGATGAAGGCCACTGCAGAGCTCCATCAAGTCCTGTGTAGGTGTCATTGCAGCGTTCTGGCGCAAGCTGGACAATTTCGAAGTTCGTATCAATGAAGTGTAACGCATGGGTTACCAGCACAACTTCTTGTCTTGTCCAAAGCTAATGAATGAAATAGCTTCTCAAATACTACGTCACTTCCAAAGATTTAACATAAACGAGGCGTCTAATATGCTGCACGAGTCTTCTTAAGTTGATTAGCGTAAATCTCAGCTCTTCTGCCTATTGAACCTCTTCTTTACACTGTAATCCTTACGAGTGTCCAGAGATGCTGGCATCCGTTTCTCTTGGCGGTGATCTTTGCTAGTGAGCTTTTCTTTCGTCTAGCCCTTTGTCAGACTTGTTAGAAATTCCAATATTGTCTTCGAAGGTGGTGTCCGGGCTGTCCAGATTGTTTGGGATAATGCCCCTTCGCCAGAGTACTGGCTTGATAAACAGTAACTGTAATGGTTTTTAGGATTTTGAACATTCGCTGCAGCAGAATTGTGGGCGAGACACGTTATCAAGAGGAACTGGTGAGCCGTAGAGATCCTGCCCACTGACAAGAAAGTCGTATTCAAAATGCCCAAATATCGTCAGTGTGTCGTCGGTTGAATGAGCACCATTTCAAAGAGGAGTCCTGCTTGCAGTACATGAGAACCATGTTATTGTACTCTAGGCGGCTGGATGTGATATCAAAGGTTCAGTCTAAAGCTGAGAAGTCCAGTCCAGTTTAAAAAAAAATCTTGGACACTCACCTCTCTAAAGTGTGTGGCTAAAGTGTGTGGCTATGTATGGCTAAGGGGTGACTCACTAAGGAGATCACTACAAGGTAGTAAAGCTCATGAAAAAGAACAAGTCTCTTAGGTGATCCAAAGCGGCACTTGGAGATGATGACTTGGGGAGGTCGCATGAGCTTAAAGTGCATGAGGACTCCCTTGGCCCCGCCATGGTGTAAGGATGCCATGGGATGCTTGGGTTGGCTCCAAGTACGAAGGGGGTGTTGGCCAAAGCATAAAAGACGCTCTAGGGCGACTAACATTGAGAGAGAGAAAAGCTGAAGCCCCTCTCACCAAGAAGTAACCTTGGTCTTGGGTGTTGGAGAGTAGTCCTCGGTGCAGGTGACCAGGAGGCCAAGAAAGGCGTGGGATCATCTGGTTCAGCTACTAGGTGAAGGTTAGTGGAAAGCTACTAACTTGGAAGGGTGGTTGGATGTAGGTGACAAAAATACTCAAGGCTAAAAAGGAAGTTTTGGAGTACTACATTGGTATCAGAGCGGGATTAGTCAACAAGGCGTGACTAGACCAAGTAGTTGTGGCGGCGAGATTTTGAGACTTGAGCCATAGCTAGAGGAAAGAAAGTGGTGGCTGAGTCTTCACAGAAGCAAGGTAAAGACGTGAATGTGGAAGAATTCTTAAGGCAAGAGGACTTGGCAAAGAGCCAGGATACCTCGCCTAAGAAGGCCATCAGAAGGAAGAACCCTTCCAAGAGAGATGCTGGGTCTCCAAGTGAGAGAGCTGGTATGTTAGAAGGAGATGTGGGGGCCCAAGGCAGTGGCATCTAGAATGAAGAGACCCAAGGGGGTTCGAGTAATCCGAGTGGATATGCCAAAGAAACATCACTTGAAGAGGGTTCTCAAAAGTTAAGCTCCTACTCTTTGAGTGGAGAAAGTAAAGCCACCAAATTAGGAGAGGGTAAGAGAAGGAATCCAAGCAGGAGCAAGGAGCTTTCGAAAAAAGAAACAAGGCAGTCCTTTCAGGGAAGAGCTAATCAACCAGACCCAAAGTCCAGGAGCGGGCACCAAGGTCACCTTGTCCTTCATTGAACTTATGAAGTTAGTAAGGTCGGAAGTAGCAAGAGTCATAGAGCGCTGGATGGAGGGAAAGGAGGTTGAAAGGGGCACCTTACGTAAGGTTTCCGCTCCCAAGAAATGGAGTGATGTGGAGGTAAGGAGACCCATGAGGAAATTTCTCGAAGAATTGGAAGTGTGGTTTGAAGCCAAAGACATCCAAGGGGCAAGAAGAGTCAAAACCTTGCCCACTCTGCTTGAAAGCACTGCCTTAGAGTGGTATTTAGTAGAGAAGAACAAGTCACCAAACAGTTTAGAGAAGACATGGGAGGAAGTAAAGGAAATGTTGTTAGCATGTTTCGTGCCAAGGCATCAATATTTTCTAGATGGAATTGCCATGGTCCACTTGAAATAGGGTGTGGAAAAAGGTTCCCTCAAAAGTTATGCCCAAGAGTTTCAAGCCAAA